AATTTTAGAATCTCATATTAATATTATTAAATTGAACATAGGATCAACTATCAACCAACCTTAATAATTTTGAAATTTGTTTTTTTATATAGAAAAATTAGTTATTTGGAAAAATAAAAATTTGAATCTTAAGTCTTAACTTTGTATTAAAAATTTTAAATTAATAAATATCAATTCTCTCAAGACCAAGGTTTTTTTAGTGAAATTTGCTTTCCTTAGTTTTCCTGTTTTGTAGTTTAGTTTTGTGCTGCAGTTATATTAAATCGCAAAATGAGAGCAATTGAATCAGGAGAGCACACTAAGAACATGTTTGATTTAGCTGTAGGTTTTATTATTATTATTATTTTGATAGAAATTCTATTTGAATAGAACTTTTCACTTAGAAGTGTTAAATCATAAATTCATATGAAATATAGAAATAGTAATAAAAATTTTTACAAGTGAATGGAAGTTATTTTTTATGAAAAAAAAAAAAATCTTTCCAACCTAAATAGGTAATACACTAGAGGTATTACTCTAATAAAATGCATAAAAACATAAAATTACATAATTTAATGCATATATGAATATTGGCAACCAAACCCAAATTTGAGATTTAACGTTAAATTGCATTTCAACATAATTTATCTAGACAAGAAATAAATTAGTTGAAGTAGAAAAATTTAGTTAAGGACCTTGTACCCAACCATACCTTTAATAACCGAAACAAACACGACAATTGATATAAAATTAACCAATATAAAATTAACCAATATCACATTCAAGTTGTTATTATCCTTCAACATGAGTGAACCCCAATGAGAAATATCAAAAAAGCCAAAGCTTCTAACTTTCAGAAAAGAGGGATAAACCTTCATAAGAGAAGAAAAAACCCTCACAAGGAAGGAGAGAACTCATATCTTTAGCCATCCACCTTAACTGCTAAGGGAAAGGGAAGTAACGGCAGCTAGGCGAAAGAAGAAAGAAAATCAAGGCGAGATAATGGCCATTTCAAAGCTTTATTAGAGTAGCACCTAGAAAGGAGCCCACTTTGGGCAACTATTGGAAACCTAAGCCTTGTAGAAATTGCAAACCAGAGAGCAATATCCTTTAGAAAGATATCAAACATTTAGTAAAAGCAAATAAAATGGTAAAACATCAAGGCCTAAGAAACAGAGGATTGAGTATGGGACAAGCTGAAGCAGTGATATAACAGTCACGATTTCAGTAACAGTGTAGATGTTGGTAAAGAAGACTGGCAATAGAACCACACTCAAATCACTTATTTTAGCTTGGCAAAGCAACAAAAGTTGGATTTTGCAGCAAGAGAGCTTCTTCATTTCCACATATATGTCAATTTAATATGTTCAAAGGGCAAACATAAGCATCCAAGTAACTCTACTGCCAAAGATGAATTATCAGAGCTTCACCACTCTAATAACAGGCCTGACAGCCCATTTTTCTTCTGCATTTTTTGTTTCTTCAAGAGTCCAAGACTAAGAACATGGTATTACAATTGACAACACAAAGGAAGCCAAATTTCTGAACATACTTATCTTCGTTCCATCATCAAAAGTCATGATAGAGAATGCAAAATTCAGTAGGTTACCAATGGATTATTAACTAACATAAGTTGATGTTGCAAGTTAACACATGATTAGTGTTTAGTTTAAGGATTAAACTTATTATGAATTCTTTCTGGAAAGAAAAACCAGAGTGTGTGTTGGTTTATCACATTCAAAATAACTAAGAACTTAGAAACACTTACAGTTTATTTGGCCTATCAACATGAAGCAATCATTGGAACATTTAATTGCAAAGAAATTCTCCAATGAAATGACTCAAGGATGAGTTGAAGTGCTAAGGTCCATGATCATGAATTTAATCAGATGCTAGAAAAGTTCCTTGAGCTTGAGAAGGTATCCATCTGCTGCTATGCCAAAAACCAAAAGACTTTATTCGTTTATTGCATGCATTTCCGACTTCATCATAAAGAATGGTGTAGTTGGAGCTGCTAATGTTCCTAAAGTAGCAAAATTTATTGCCATCATACTTGTAGTTTTGTTGGGTGCTCCCCACTCCACTGACAACCAAGTTGTCCTTCACAACCATAACACCTTGCCCATTCTGCAAATTCTTGAGAGAACTTACAGGCCGTCTGAATCCAAGACCAGTGACTCCGAACTTCTTAGCATCGAATCCCAGAGTAACATTTGCCACAGATAATGAAGTTCCGTTTCCTTGATCCAGATCATTGGAGTACAGGTAAAGGAGAAACCTCTTATTCGATTTCTTTCCTTTGGAGAAAGAGTATGGCTTCTTGACATGAACACTGTCATTAAAATGGATCTCCTGATTCACTATCTCCATATTCCCATCATCTCCTATCACCATGAAGTTACTATAACTCAAGTCTTGAATTGCTGTGGTCGAGATCATGCCATGAGATGACTTGACCCATCCAGTTGAGGAAATGGACCTATTTACTTTTGTCAAGAACGTTCCATTTAAACCCTTGAAATCTGATGAATAGGAAATCTGAAGAGGCTGAACTTGATACTTAAGAAGCTTCCCTTCAGTATGAGCGTTCTTACTATCCAACCAGAGATGCAAATTAGCATCAATATACCACACATCCAAAGCATTTGTAACACTAAACCCCAACTTATGCACTTTACCATCCAATATGGTCCCTAAAAAAGGAGTAATTTCAATATCATATGTAGGAAGATCAAATGATCCAATGCCAGTAATTGGTCTCCATAGAAGCGGATTAATCCCTCCAGTGTAAACCACAGTAAAAGGCCAAATTGCACCAACTACATAGCCATCAAGACTAACCACAACCTCCCGGAAAGGTCCATTTCCTGCTGTGTCTGTTATATTATTAGCCGAAAGATAATCATTTGGGGGATTTGCATACCAAAACTCATCATCCTCATGAAATGACACATAAACCTCCAACACAGCCCTATACACATTTGGAGGAACTTTGAATTCCTTTCCCTTCGTATCTGTGGAATTCTCAATTTCAAACCACAACCCATCATTCAATGGCAAATTCCGTGAAATGGGTAAGATTAAATCAGCCCTGGACCCATACCCAGATGCTAAATTCTCCAAATTGCTCTCAATATCATTAAATTTCTTCTCAGCAGGATAAAAATAAATAGTCACATCCACATGATACACACCAGTATAAGTTTGATCAACAACATTACCCATATAAACAGCAAAAATTTGTGTCTCATTCTTGAGAAGCAAAGAGTAATACCTTGTTATATCCTTCTTGACACTCCAAACAATCCCAGTAGCTCTAGGCTCAGCCGTGCAGCTCCTAAGAAGCTCGACCCCACTTAACCAGGCCCCAAAAATCCGATCATATTGCCTTCCTTTGCAGGTAGCATTCCATTCAAGGACAATCTTGGAGAAATCGTGAGATGGGCAGTGAGAGGGAGGGGTGTAGTTCGCAAAAACAGGGGGTTTCCCATAAGTATAGCCAAAATCATGGTGGAGAATGCGGTGGACGCAAGGTTGAGTCTTGGGGACTCTAATGGGTTTGGCGACTTCGAAGTAGAGGGTTGGTGGGGTGTCATTGAGGTGGGATGTGGTGGCGGCGGAGAGGAGGCTTGAATTGAGGAGGATGTTGGATTTGTGGAGGTTGGCGGTGGCTGAAAGAGGGAGGAGGAATAGGAGACAGAGGAGGAATAGGAAAACGGAGGCCATGAATAGTGGTTTGGACATCCGAGGTGGTATTGTTGTCAATCTGTTGATTCCTGGGTGAGGAAAGGTTGTTGCCTCCTTGTAGTTGAAAACAATGGTAGCAAATGACACTGGTTGGGTTGTTGAGACTTGAGACTTGAGACTTAAGAAGGAATTTGGACTTTTGGAGGGATTTGAGATTTGTGTTGGGTTTAAATGGAAAAGTAATAAATACTGTAGTGGGTTTAAATGGAAAAGTAGTAAATACTCCTAGGAAAATGAAAAAAATAAAAAATAAAAAGTCAAATGTCAATTTTGACTACTCAATTATAAAATTTTGTATAATTTTTATCTTTTAACTTATATATATTTTTTAGTTCTTTAATTATGAAAAATGTATTTTTTTTAATCATTCTAGTTAATATGTTAAGTTTATCTAAATTTGTATATTTTTAATTCCTTAATTTTTAATATATATTTTTCACTTCTCAAGTTAAAATTAAGAACTAAAAATTTACATATTTAAATAAATTTATCAAATTAACTCATATAAGGATTAAAAAATATATTTTTCATAGTTAAAGGATAAAAATAATATACAAAAAAAATTAAAAGATAAAAATTATATAAAACCTTATAATTGAGAGACTAAAATTGACATTTAACAAAAAAAAATATAAATAAAGAAAAAAACAGTGTTGTCATGACTCATGATCATATAATGACATAATTTGCTCAATCAAGTAAAAAATAAAATAAAATAAGTAAAAAATTAATACCATCACCTAAGGAGGAAAAAAAATACATAAAAAATTAAAAAATGCATGATTTCATGATTTATGAAATGCTTCTTTTCTAGATTGGATCTTGAAAGAGTTTCTAACTTTGCTAGTTAAATTGTGCTTAATGATAAATAATAAATTATTGGATTAAAGCCAATTCTTAAATTTAGTTTTGTGTTTAAATTAGGAGAGTTGAAGGAAAAGGAAAGAAAAGTGAGGAAGAAATTCCTCTTTCTCACATTTAGATTACTTATTTTAATAGGAGTGAGATGAAACCTCCTTTACTCTTATTTCCATTCTTCTAATTTACTCTTATTTCTTTTCTTCTAATTTGGAGAAATTGTAATGAATATCTTTGTATATTTACTTTTTTTTAAAAAATAAACATATATAAATGTTTTATTTTAATTATTTATTTAATTAGTAAATTTAAAAAATTTTATTATTCTTTATTTTATTTTTTATTAAATTATTTACTTATATAAAAATATTATTCTTTTCATTCCTTTATTTTTATCTATCCAAACAAAACTAATATTAACTCTTTTCTTTCTTCCACTGCTCCTTTTCCTTCCCCTCCCCTCCCTTTTTTTCCCCTTACTAATTTTTTTCCAAACATAGGCTTAATTTCAATTTTCTTGTTAAGAAGCTCATGCAAGTTTAGGACTTCACAGCATGTTTGGAATGCAAATTAGGATATGGCTGGATAAGATAAACACAATGGGACAAGATAAGACTAGATTGAAAATGATAATATAAGTCCCATCATATGTTTGTCACTTATTTGGATTATATAAAAAATTTATCACATCTTATATTTGGAACTCTATAAGATTACACAAGATAACTTTAACAAATTTTTCATATAAATAAAAATACCCCTAAGTTTAAAATATATAAAAACTTTCATTCATTTACCCAAATTTATTGGATAAAATGCCTTTAAAAAATATATATATTAATTTATAAAAATAATTAACTTATTTAACTACCAAAGATATTATA